TATGCTTAATTTCAAAGAGCTGCGGGTAGATTCTTGTGTCCTATTTTTAATAAAATGGTAGCTCGGTACTTCATGGTGAAAACACATGATATTTTACCCCTGTGACAATCATGGATCCACACAGCAAGCCCATGAGATCTGCAACTTTTTAATCTGATAGATGAACGCTACCAAGTATTTCATACCTTCTGATGCCTTTTTTCTTCCCATGTGATGGCTTTTACCAATTAACTGCTGAGTTAATGCATCATTTTAAGAAGGTAGTCTCTCAAAATTCTGCATACAGCATCTCCAGGGCAGCAATCTCAAATTCATGAACCACCATCCTGCCTTAAATTTGCACAGGTTACTGCTCCCTGTTCTGAACGCTTCAGCATTTATAAAAATAAAATAGGTGAGTAGTGAAGGTGAATAGTTCGTGTAATGTTTGCCAAGAAACTGTCCTAACGTTTTATTTTTCCTGTTCTGAAGAGTTACTGCAGCCTGTTTACTAGAAAACATGATGACTTCTGCTTGATAATAATGCCGGATGATCTCTTTGAGCTTATGAAGTATCTACCACTAGTTGCCAGGCTGAGAGTTTGAAGTTGGCCCTGTGAAACGGCCATGATGTGAAACTGACATAAAACCAGCCCTGAAGGAGGCTGGCAAACGCTGTGAGGTCAGGCTGGCAGCTGAGCACGTTTGTCTTCCCTTAAACTAGAGCTTGCCCTGGCTACCACAATTCTATACACTCCTCCCTTACTGCTATACCAATAGCTACTGAAAAAGGCATTTTTTCCAGTATATATTTTTTAAATGTAGAAACTACTACTATTCTTACCTATGTATTTAGGTATCTATCTTAGGACCCAGATGCACCTTCTTACATCAAAATTGGTTTCTGGCCCAACCTTCCCCTTATGAAATCCTTCCTTGTCCCTGGTGGCTGCCTCTCTGTTGAATCCCTGGATCCCACAAAAAAGAATAAAGAATCAAAACTCCGAAACCTTTACTATACAGGACACAAAAGTACAGTATGTAAAACAGAGCTATAAACACTGGGCCCTGGGCTTCAAAAAGAGTGCCAGCAGTTGCCATCTGGGGAGCCCAGGAATGTTTCCACAATCTGAATGTTTTTCTGCAGTACCTTCCTGACGCACCAAAATCACCAAAATCCCACTTCATGTGGATGAGCTGGTTTGTCTGTCTGCACAAAACACCTCTCCAGTGCCTTCCAAATGCACAAGTTGGCTGTCACCTGTACTCTCCAGGTAAGCTTCACTTTTAAAGCTAAAATTTTGGGAACAGACTATAAAATACATGAAGGTTTGCATTTGGAACGCTTTCTAAGTGAGCATAGCATTAGGTTTAGCAGCAGATGTCAGATGTTTGTAGGGCCAGAATGGAAGTTAAAAACAATATTTACAAACCTGTAGACTTACATGTCAAGACGCAGCAAGATGAGTTCCACTATTCAAGATAAGCAGTTTGAGACATTACAGAAGAAAGAAGCATATTAATAACAACCCAAACAGTAAGTTTAGAGAAACTACAAGCTAAAAATGATATGATATAGAAAGGAGTAAGATTAATTATTGCAGCTAGCTCATGGAAATGCAGATCTATAATACTAACCTCTGACAGTATTTTACTTTGTGTAGAAAGACTCTGGCAGTTCTGACAAATCAGAATGCAGAGCAGGCTTTTTTTCAGACTGCTTTGGTTAGATAAATCTACTTCAAAAGCTAAGATTCAAAATATGACAACACTTAAAACTGACCGATCTTTATTGCAATACTAACATTGGTAGTTAAAAAAACAGGTAAGAAATATTAACACTAGCAAGGCTGGTGGTGATCAGTGAAGTAAATTAAACAATCTACTTCATCTGTTTGTACAAAATATAAACAATTACTCCTGCAGTTAATGTTCATTGCTATTGCCTTATGCATCTGCATCTATTTTGCTTCTTTGCAACATATTTTCCATACTGTTTTGAAAATTCTATGTTAATTGTTAAAACTTCAGCCTGAATTAAGGCAACTTTAACATCAACTGCTGAGGAACTAACACATTTTGATTACACCTAATACACTGATTGTATTTACATTTTAACTGAGCAGTGATTCAATTAGAAAATGTGGAGATTACCCAAAATATACACAGTATATATACTATATATCCCCTATCTTATATCCCCTTTACTGTGTAAACCCCCTATCAGGTCTGGGACAAAACAGGCATCCTGATGGATCCAGAAACGCAGGCGGCAGCGTTAGGAAGACGCTCTCTTCTGCTCGGAGAAGGGAGATTCGTAGGCCTCCACGGGTGGGCAGGTGCAAACCAGGTGCTGATCTCCATAAATGTCATCAATGCGAGCGATCGTGGGCCAAAACTTGCTTTCAGGCTTCACGAAGGGCTACATGCAGGAAGAGAATTGACTAATGATTTTGTCTGCCATACCAATAAAATTTGTGCAAGTGTAATGGATTAAGAACAAAGAATGCTGAAGTGGATTTTTAAAGGGAAATCATACCTCAAAGCTGTTTGGAGTCCCTGAAATTTAACAAGGATGTGGAATAGGGTTGGCAGTCAAAACAATATTTAGATTCGCAAAGAATGTAACCATGTCTGCCAAAAAAAGGCATGGAAAGGAGCAGCTATCATAGGATTTGAAAAACCAGTGTCCTCTGAACAACTGGCTAGCAGATAGAAATCCAGGAAACGTGAAGGAGATGGTGACGTTATGCCACCTTGCTTCTCTCCCTCCTTTTAGATATTGAGCAAAGGTCATTGTGGAGTTAAAACTTGAAATAGTAAATAGCAAACATCAATAAAGTATATGGATACAATTTGAATTAAACTGACAATGCTTACACATACAGTTAAGCTCTACGAAGTGAGCTGTCAAGGTTCTGGAAACAATTTTGGATAGTTCTCTGAAGACATCTGACATGTCTGGTGCCCGGTTCCAACCCGGCCTTTACCTGCAGTTCTTTGAGGCAGAGGGTTGAACATGATGTGGGAGGGTTTTGGGAGACTCTGAACTCACTGGAAGTGCAGATCACTTTGCAACAAGAATAATCAATACTGAAGTACTGAGGTTTAGAAATCAAATTTGCACTTTGTGTCTAGAGACTTTTTTTTTCAATACTTTTTTCTTAATCTGGAAAAACAAAACTAATAGGGCTGCTGTAGAACTCACTTTTAAAAACTCTGAACACTCTGAAGTTGTTGTTGTTACGCCTATCAGATTAGTTTTTCTGCAATAGCCCAGAAAACTACAGATAAGATGGGAAGAGCTCCTAAACGTATTACTAAATCATTAGGTTTCCATGGTTTACTCACCAGTGGGAAGGCTGCAACTTCTCTGGAATAAGGACGATCCCACTTGGAAGCAGTGATACAGTTCAGAGTATGTGGTGACATCTACAGCAGGAAGATGTTAAGACATGTGAAACTGCTGAGATCAACTGGCTGTGTTTGTTTGTTAGTTTAAACCCTCCTTCAAATCCACAAGACTACATACACCCAAAGGAGTTTAATGCCTGGAGGTTGACACTATAGCAAAACAGGGGTGGGGAAAAAAAGAAAAAAAGGACACCTAAGACAGAAAGCAAGACTTTTTAAAATTTGGCTGACAATACTGCTTCCTGCTATCTAGCTGATGTATATTCATTTTTTTACTAAAAATCCCCTTGGTGTTTAAAAATACAATGCAGCATTAGAACAGTTACCATGAAAAAAAATGAGCTAGTAACCTTTTTGTGCTACAGCTGCTACAATAATTCTTTCCATTTTTATTTTGCAGTCGCTTGTAAGGCTATTTACCACCACTTCGTAGATTAATAAGCATCTCTTCATCACTTTTCAAAGACTTTGAAACAGATACATAGATCATATGCTTCCTTAAATAACCTTATCCAGTCTCTCAGTAAAGACTAAACTTCTGGCTTGGCAGAGAAGAGCATCTAAATTCAAATTCTGAAGTTTTTAGGAAAGTAAAATTTCAGGAAGGAATCAGCAGGGATCCTTCATGCTTGTGACACTCCGCCTGGCGATGCTCTCGACAGGTTTTGTACACAGTTACTGCTGCAGCAACCTGCAAGACTGGGAGGTGCTCTCCAAGGCAAGGCAGTGCTGGTGACTTCACCTACACGTCGTCGTCCTACCTTTAGTGGGTTAACTTGGGGGTCCATCCTGCCCTCCTCTATTTCAGCAATTTCCTGTCGAATACTGATCATGGCATCACAAAATCTATCCAGCTCTGCCTTGTCTTCTGACTCTGTTGGTTCAATCATAAGCGTTCCTGCCACTGGCCAGGACATGGTTGGAGCATGAAAACCTGATAAAAAAGAAATCCAGTCACTGAAAACAGACTGTGATTTTATCTAAGCATTAGCCATCACTGACTCACAAATTTAGTCCTTTCCGTTTAAACAAGGTTGGCAGGGTAGTTAATACAGGTGAGAGACTGTTCAAATACTTTAGTTTTGAACCATGAATTATTAGTCTATTCATGATAGAGTTTAGAATTGCATGCTGATCTCAGGATATACTCCCGAAGCTGTCATTTCCAGCTTCGTCATTTTTCAGCCCAAAATACTTCTCCGCAAGAAGAAATATTTTCTCCAGGAAAAGGTATTTCTCCTGTCCATTTCTGCTCTTGTCAATAAAAATGTTTTTAATTTTACCTTCTTGTGCCAGGCTGAATGGAAAGGTGTGGAATTGTACAACTGCGAATCAAGATAAAAATAAAATTGGATTTCATGATTTCTTTTCTGCCCTACTGCTAATTACAGCCTCGTGCCACTTTCAGTCAGGGTGCAGGGGATGAAACTTGAATTTATACAGACAATCCCATAAGCATGTTAAAAATTGTTTACGAAGTGATCCATTCCATTCAAGACTGCAGCAGCCCTCTACACAGAGCAGCGGGGCTTTTTTTGCTATCAACACTTCCCCGTTATTTCACTGACAAGGTATTAAAACACTGGACAGTGTTTTACTCCCCAGTAGAACGACCTGTACTCACAGTGAGTTGGAAGCACAGGTGGGGGGTCAGCTGGAACCACGCAGTTCAGCAGTTCACCCTTTTCAGTCACCTGCATCACCCAGGCGCACGGAGCAAACAGCGGGTGTCCCTGAGGGCCCAGCTCGGGGGGAACCCGGCCGTGCCACGGAGCAGCTCACCAAGCCCCACTTGGGAAGGTTTCACGTGCATTTCCCAGCAGGTCTGGTGTCAGAACCTGGGTCCCAACCCACGGGCTCCCACGGACACGCTCGTGGGTTCCCACGGCCCAGCCAGAGCCCTGGGGCCGCTCGGTGAACACG